TGTGCGCCTTCCGTTGTCTCCATGTCCGCCAGCCAATCAGAGGGCGAACAGCGTTGATTGGTCTGGAGCACTCGCGAGGCCTGTGACAAGCCTCGCGCGTCCCAGCAGCGTATCGACAAGAAGTGTGAGGCGGACAAGAAGGCAGCGTTACAAAGGCGGAGGGCAAGGAGACGCGAACTGCCACAGGGTTGCGAAATTTGTTTAGGAGAAATTAGGTTATAAACGCTGCTGTATCCGATCATGGTTATTGTTAATCTGCATTGAAATGGTCGCGCTGGAAAACCCTTCCTTGGCTAACGTAGCCCCCCCCCCCTCCCATCTAAACCTTCCCTCCACATCGCCTTTTGCTGTTACGGCGAAAGATCATTGCAATGGAGCAGGATCTAACTTTCGACTGCAGTTGAGGTGCGGCGACATTAAATATGTTGGTCCTTACTTGAAGTCCGCCCCTATGTACTTAAAGTATACTTAAGTGATGTATATTGATGCACAAATCCCAGTTCGGTAAACATGATTGTGATTTCTAAAACCCCACGTTCACAACACACGCGAAAATGAGGGAGTACCAGACCTTTGCGATTGTCTGCGACTTCGTCATTTTATGTATCTAATCCAACATCGAAAGAAATTCGAAAAGTATTTTGTTATTTAATACGTTGGGCTCTAGTATTATGATATAGTATCACAGTTCTTAAATACTTTCCTCAAATCCGAATGTCGACGTTTAAATACGCTTTAATCAGCATGGAAGCTGGCTTTCGCCATGACACCACACCAAATGCAACTTTCGCATACACGCGTTCTTTTGTACCATTTCCTGCGTAAGCATATCCTGAGGGCTGATTTTAACTATGAATGATTCCGCAAGATTGGCCAATGAATTCTAAACTAATGAACCCCATCTTACTCAGGCCCCAAATTTATTTCATTTGTTTTGATTTTATCTAAACTGAACTTGTATCTGCGTTCCCGGCAGGGCGGCATCCCTTAGTACTTGTCGTTGTTCTTCCTTAAGAAGTATGCTTGTTCCGACGTCACGCGGGTTATTGCCTACGTTCGACACTACACTGAACCAGGTAAGACTCCAGATTTTCTATAACTGGTTAAATTTAGTATCGCAAAGATTATAATATAGTCATCCAGTCGTTAAGTACTTTGAAAGTATGAGATATATGCGTCTGCTACAAATTCTAAAACTGGGAGTCCAGAGCTGCGTCTGATTGGTCAGCGGCTTTAGCGGTTTTAATGAAATGGTCTAATTTGTCTTCTGTTACTTGTCATCAGGCCGATACATTTACATGCGTAATGATCGTTCTAATTGTAGACAGGATATAAATGCGTCTGAGGGGCAGGGGTAATCGGTCTCCATGTTCCCACGCTACCCACATGACAGAGTGAGTGTGTTGACAAAGATGGTGTTGGAGTGCAAGGGGGGGAAGGAGAGGGGTTCCGTTCAGATTGTAAGCGCTGTGAGTGCGTGCGACTGCCCTCAGGGCATCATGACGGCATGCGATCACCGTCTGGAATCGGCCAGGACTGACAGACTGCTTGCATCAGCGTCTTCCGTTAACAGGGTGCTGAGTTCGCTAGTTGAATAGCCACCGATTCGGCTGTGGCTAGCACCCCTCTGCACTGGCCTTTACGGTAGTGTGTCGTTGCCCGGCAGATAGCTTGGGCTTGGTGATTCGTATCGATTAGATGTGAAACAATTGATCTCAAAATAAATCGATTATCACCTTTATCTAGCCAGGCAGGCATCTGTTCGCATATTATCTTTTCCGGACGCCTCGTTGTACGGCAAATACATTCCCTTCGACAGAAGCAGGTGAATGAATATATAAACATGGATGTGACTTGTAACGGTCATTTCAATTTTCAAGCCAATTGCATGTGCATAACGTATTCCCCTCATGCTTCTCAACATTTATTCTTCATTTTCCGATCCAATATATGCCACTGGATTCGATCTTCAATTCGCCCCTAAAATAACGAATCTAACATACAGGCGTAAGTATGGTTTCGAACTCTCGTGTCGATTGCTTCATTTTGCGGCCTGTACTCCAAAATCAGCCGAAAGGCTGGCGAGCCAGCATAAAAAGGATTCATTTTGAAAATCGTAGACTGTCTCCTAATTATGCCTTTCTGGGAGTTTAATAACATTGTCCACAATACGAAAAAAAACTATTAGATATTTCCTATATGCTGACCTAAGCAATCGCACAATTTTTTATTTTCCCGTTGAGTAATACTGAAGAGTACCCCATGTGGTAATAAGGCATCAGTAATTGTTTTCGGTTAAGTTGAAAACGCACATGTAATGGGACGAAGCTATTAAGGAGTGTAAGGTAACGTTGGGCTAACGCTTTCGCATCCCTGATTTCTGAAATTCATGGAAAACGGTAATAGTTTTTCGACTTGTCCTACAAAATGCACCCATTTCAGGCATAATTAGTGAGGGCGTCAGGTTTCAAATATAGCGCGCGTGACCGATCTCATGAAACCTCGACCAAAATTGTGGAATGCGTTTCCGTTTGGGGAGGATACATTAAGTGGAATTGTTGCACTGATGATTATGCAACATAATCCTATAAAATTTAAGACTCGACAGGGGGTCGGCTTTTGAATGCACTTCTTTTTGACCTCCTCCAGAAACCACACTTTATAAAAATGACTACTTAAATAGCGTTTATTTCTCCTATTGATTTTCGATGGTCTTATAAATCCAAATATATTTTACATAAAATATGCATAAAAATAGAGTTTATTCTGCTCATTTGAAAGAATACAATAAAACCTTGATATTCTAAATTCGATGAAAGAGTATTTTTAAATTTTAACAAAGATTTCAACTCTGATATTTTTAAAACAGTGCGATTTCCTGCGTGCAAGACTGTACATGTCCGTCTACTAATTATCCTCATGAGATGAATGACACAATCCGGATCCTTTAAAAACTCTCATGAAATCTCTGTGGTATCTTCCCAAAGACATAGAGGAATATTTAATTCTCCTTAGGCGGAGTGAATGCGCCTTTTAAACTAAAATTAATTTATGCTGATGCAATGGCTGATCAGGCTGGATATGAAGCATCAAAAATAAATATGTGATCGAATTTACAATCTCAACTAAATTACTGACCAAAGTGGACACTAAAACTACAAATAGAGCACCCTTTCATTAAAGTTGACGTAAAATGTCACTGCAACTGGGTGGAATCCCATCTCTTATCAGGCGAAGAAATTCAGAATAAAAAATGAGTATTTCTAATTCAACTTCTACATACTTTCACTGGCAACGCATATGCAAGTTTTACAAGTAAACAACAACTGCGGTATGAAGATCAAATGACAAAGTAAACGTACTTCTGCCGGCTACATATATACAACATATCAGTGCATAATTAAATTTCATTTAAAATAGACATGTTAGAGTACACTTTGCTAAAGATCTTAGTTCATTTGGACACGTCGCACATTTCAACATCCATTTTCCTTTCGATTTCAAAATACAACTAATGGGGAGTGTCCTGGCATGTTATCTGGCGTTTAAAAGGAGACACTGAATATGTCAAACTTTTTCTCTATATTATGTATGAAAAACTGTGTGTCGGACTATTAAAGTTAAGCAAAAGAATAATGATGTTATTTTACAAGGACCTTTCAGGCAGGCCATGCTGTCCGTTTGGAAATGAGCCTTCGGTTTTCGGAATACGATATCATAACGTTGTTTCCAACAGAGGATAGAAAACACATTCAAAAGGGGATAGATTTTCCAGACATTTCATATTTTCACAATGAAGCAAAAAAGATGCAGACGCATATGATGCTCGTGAGTAAAAATAAATTTGATGAATTAGGTTATATTTACAATTGAAAACAAAGCACCAAAAATAATATTTAAACAAAAGCCGCCTTCCATTCGTCCATACAAACAGTTAAAACAGAAGACAGATAAATTTGGTCATACGCACACGGGCAGTATACAGACGGTAGTCTCCGATAGCATAAAACGATAGAGATAAACAATTATTAGAAGATCGGACAAACCAGAGACTAAATAATAAAAGAAATTTTAATCCTGATAGATGCGAACAGGTGAGTACCAGGAAGCAGTTCAGAAGATGAAGATGCGATCACTGGGACAAGAATTTTATTTGCCTGACGTTTCAGATTCTCACTCGAGCCCATCATCAGAGACATTCGCAGATAGAGGTGAATGTGGCACCAGGATTGCAGTATTTATATCACGTGGCTGCCGTAGGACCGTATGTGCACTGCAATTAACAGTTCTCACAATCGCCGCTGGGGTCGTAATTGATGCGGCGGTGGCTTGGCGGTCCGAGTCCGAGTTGTTAATTGCCGCGATTTCGTCATCCGTGCTCGATGCTGGTGTGACGATTGCTCGGCAAACTGGCTCACTGTCACCGTGATACTTGCTCACCCGCGCCCTCCCCACGTGACTGATTCTCCTGCCCAGGGAAAATCGCAATACGGATTAGGGCACCGGGAGGTCATTGTGTTTGTTGATGGATTGCGGGGCTGAGAACCATGACTCGAGCAGCTCGCGGCTCACGCGGTTGTCACCTCTTGCGAGGATTTCGGCCTCTTGAAATTTGAAAATATGGCCGGGTCCCGTCGAGTGTGCCGCCACCTGAGAGTTAGCGTCTCCCCGCCTCACTGCTGCTGCGGGCTCGGCAAGTCGCGTACGGAGTAATCTCCCAGTTTCTCCGACATAATTGCTTTGTCCGCAACTACACCAGATCCGGTAAACGACTCCAGACGTTTCCTGCCTTGGCAGCGGGTCCTTTGGCCTCATTACTTGGCGCCTAATGGTTGCTTCCGGCCTGTGTGCAACCCCAACTCCAAGTGGAGTGAGAAGACGACTGACGGCTTCCGAGACCTTCTTCACGTACGGAAGAGCCCGCCAAAATTTGGGGGTAGTTGGATTTGGTCTCTGGTGTCCTTTTCGCATGCACTGGTTGACAAAGGTGCTGCGAGTTCATGGGCGAGGACGGCATAAAACTGCTTCAGCAGAGGCTGGCCGAACGAACCCGTGAACATGAAGCTACGCGAGAAGCAGCCCTAGAGAGCAAATTTCGTAAGCTGCCTGCTCCAATGTCATCCAAGAACGACAAACTGGTGCACAACCTGTCGTCAAAGGAGCTGACGGAGGAACAAATGCAGGTTTTACGGCATGAGGCCTCATTCAACACAGCCGATGCCAAACCTGCCAACATGATCGCAGCAGTTGAATCAATCCTCAGCCAGACGGAAGCGACAGACGAAACGAAGAACCTCATTCGACACCAAGTGTCCTCCCTCCTCACGCCTCATAGGTCGAGCGCGATGCACTTAAGGAACTCAGGGCCGACAACGACCTCGTTATCGTGCCTGCGGACAAGGGGCGTTCAACGGTCGTATTGGACAGGACAGACTACAATCAAAAAGCCAAAAGCTTGTTGGAGGATCGTCAGTCCTACGTCCCATGCGAATCCAACCCCATGAAAACGCTGACACGCGAGATTAACGCGACGCTGTTGGCAATGGAGAACGCAGGTGCAATATCGCCAATCGACCGACGCATGGCGAGAGCACAAGAAACGGCCCTAGCCCGATTCTACGGTCTCCCAAAAGTGCACAAAGAGGGCGCTCCTCTCCGGCCTATCGTATCACTAAAAAGCACTCCAACCTACGGACTGGCAAAATGGCTGTTCCAACGTCTCAAGTTTCTGACCTCCGATTCGAACACCGCAGTCAGCTCGTCAACGCAATTCTTGGAGAAACTTAAAGGAGTAAGTCTTCTGCCAAGCGATATCATGGTTTCCTTTGATGTCACGTCCCTTTTTACTTCTATCCCGCAGGACCTGGCAGTCGAGACAATCGAACTACTCCTACGAGAGAAGTACGACGAAACTGAGAATCGCCTCGGACACGTTCAAATCATCCAGCTCCTAAAGTTCTGTCTCAAGACATACTTTACATTCGACGGAACAATCTACGAGCAGATAAAGGGGACGCCAATGGGTTCGCCGCTTTCGGGACTCATAGCCGAGGCGGTCCTTCAACGGCTGGAGTCGCTGGTTTTCCGACACCACAGACCGAAATTCTGGGCTCGGTATGTGGATGAAACCTTCGTCGTCATCGAACGGGATTAGGTGCTGACTTTCAAAGAACAACTCAACGCCGTCTTCCCGGACATTCAATTTACGATGGAGGAGGAGGAGGAGGAGGAGGAGGAGGAGGAAAACAATCAGCTGGCCTTCCTGGATGTCCTCGTCTGCCGCAAAGATTGTGGTGGCCTAAAAACCAAAGTGTTCAGGAAAGCGAGAAATACGACGCAAATACTGAACTTCAATAGCAACCACCCGATCAGTCACAAACGCAGTTGCGTAAGGGCGCTATACCGGCGTGTTGAGACGCACTGCAGTGAAATGGAAGACAAGGTTGCTGAATTACAATATCTTCGACGGGTAATGAGAGCTAATGGCTACCCGCGCAACTTTGTCAACCAGTGCATGCGAAAAGGACACCAGAGACCAAATCCAACTACCCCCAAATTTTGGCGGGCTCTTCCGTACGTGAAGAAGGTCTCGGAAGCCGTCAGTCGTCTTCTCACTCCACTTGGAGTTGGGGTTGCACACAGGCCGGAAGCAACCATTAGGCGCCAAGTAATGAGGCCAAAGGACCCGCTGCCAAGGCAGGAAACGTCTGGAGTCGTTTACCGGATCTGGTGTAGTTGCGGACAAAGCAATTATGTCGGAGAAACTGGGAGATTACTCCGTACGCGACTTGCCGAGCCCGCAGCAGCAGTGAGGCGGGGAGACGCTAACTCTCAGGTGGCGGCACACTCGACGGGACCCGGCCATATTTTCAAATTTCAAGAGGCCGAAATCCTCGCAAGAGGTGACAACCGCGTGAGCCGCGAGCTGCTCGAGTCATGGTTCTCAGCCCCGCAATCCATCAACAAACACAATGACCTCCCGGTGCCCTAATCCGTATTGCGATTTTCCCTGGGCAGGAGAATCAGTCACGTGGGGAGGGCGCGGGTGAGCAAGTATCACGGTGACAGTGAGCCAGTTTGCCGAGCAATCGTCACACCAGCATCGAGCACGGATGACGAAATCGCGGCAATTAACAACTCGGACTCGGACCGCCAAGCCACCGCCGCATCAATTACGACCCCAGCGGCGATTGTGAGAACTGTTAATTGCAGTGCACATACGGTCCTACGGCAGCCACGTGATATAAATACTGCAATCCTGGTGCCACATTCACCTCTATCTGCGAATGTCTCTGATGATGGGCTCGAGTGAGAATCCGAAACGTCAGGCAAATAAACTTCTTGTCCCAGTGATCGCATCTTCATCTTCTTAATTTTAATCCATTGAAATTTTGGCAGATTTCGAATAATTCATATTGACCCAACTGTAAAAATACTCGGCGCCTCGGTGGTATTCGAACCCACGCAGTAAGGTGAAGGCTTAAGCACAGCCAATTCTCTAACCACCTGAGCTCCGAGGACTCGAGGCGTCGGGTTTTTCACAGTTGGATCAGTATGAAATTTTAATCAGCGTGCTGTGACACATCAACTTCCACAGGTGCGTGATTAGTAACTATTAAACTTCATAAATACACCCTTAAATATGAAATTCAAGACGTATCTTTTTAACAAATGAATATTAGAAGTGATATTCACATAGTTGCTCTCTATGTTCATGGGATTTTTTCAAGATTTCGGAATCTTTAAAACGGTCTGCAACACTTAAATATTCGCCTTCCAAGTAATGCTGCCTTTGTATTCAATCGAAATGGAAGTTATTAGGAAGCCAGCATTTTGGTGTTGCTACAGTATCCTTGCATAATTCAGTGTGATAGGTAACGGTTCAACCCTGTTGAAGTAATATTATGGAACCAAAAACACTTTCATTTATTTTTGAAAGCGTTTCGGAAGACTGCTTAACCTCATCAGTTTCATACTTCGATCTATTTTTACGAGACATTCTTTTCACGTGTATACGTATCTAATGAAATAGGCATTAAAATTAGTATTTCATGTTTCCTGTCTTCGAAAAAAAGTCAACTTTTGTCGCTTTAAAACTATCATAATTTTACGATTTTCGACACTTTCTGTCGGTGAGCTAAATTATAGCTCCATCAAACGAGAGCTTCACGTTTGTGACTAAACGTTGTTATCTACGAAAGTAAATACACCTTTCTAGTTAAGAAAACGAAAGCTGTTGTCACATTGTGTACTGCGACTTTATAGACCAGCAGCTCACGTTGTACTAAGACGATTTACTGTGTCCTGACTATAAGAAAATCTGTATTTCAGATTTACTTCCCTCTCTTTCCATTTGATTGAGCTAAAGCACGCGCGCTTAGGACCTTGAAGCAAAATTAAAACTCTGGGGTTTACGTGGGTGAATAGGCCAGACATCTTTTTTTATTGCACATACAACACCGCCCCGCACAGCGCCATGCGGTTAGTACAAATCGGCGTTTAAACGAGATAACCGTTTAAAGGACCAAAGTCGCCGATTGCTTAGTGTTCTACTTTATATAACAACCTCGGAAAATAGAATCATCCAGACTAAAATAGCTGCAATGACCCTCTGTGTCAGATGATATACCGTTGAAATGCAGAATTTTGTTATGATTGCACCAAACGCTAGAATTGCCTACAATTCATGTGTCATCGTTCTGTCAACAAATAGACAACAACATGATTTTATCGAACTTGAGCAAATTTCTTCTGTTAGTAAAAATTATTAAGTGACTGTTTGGGAAAAAACATCTTATTTAAATAACTATGATTCTATGCTTTATCGTCTGTAGATGGTTATCAAAGTTTCATTTGATAAGTGCTCGTATTTTTGTGACACGTTAGTACGTCTTTGAGGAATTGGACATTAGGACAGCTGTCGCGTAATGATGCAGATACTATTTTTTGTGAGAACCATATAGATCTGGTTTCGTAACCGGTCTAAGTAAATTTTAAAAAACCCCAAGGGTTTTGCCTATATTCATCTGTTCATCGTGTATATGTGCAGACAGACTTGTATCAACGGATAATATTCAATTTTTAAAAAGTCCACTTTATTACTTACACAAACCGTTTGTCGTAAACGGTTTAATCAAATTAGCAGAATAAAATTCAATAGTTGAAGCACAAGGTTAATTAACCAGAAGTTTCGAGTTTTTATACGAACCCATTTTCAGTGGCAAACGCAGAAATAAGTAATAGGCGGCATTGAGTACGCTGCATCCAATGGGCTCAGTTGCCAGATAGTCACATCCCCACTGCATTAGACAGCATTCTTGTTCGTTGCTGGGGTCGTATGTGATGCGATGCGTCCTCGTCAGGCCATAATCAAGTCGATAAATGTCGTGACTTCATTGTCTTTGTCTATGCAGTCGCGAGTGATTGCGATTGAATAACCCACCGCCACCTCACTTAACGTCAGAATTAGTTTGCCGGATCTAACGCAGTTACAGGCAAAGAAAATACGTCGGGAAACTGGAAGGTAATGCAAACGCGAAAGGTGGAGTATGCAGCGGTGCTGCGGAGGAAGAATGCTGACTCCTAGATCACGGCTCACTTCGCGAGACCCGGCAACGCCTTCAAGTTTATTGTGGCCGAACGAAATCCGGTAAGGACGATGAAGGCAAATCAAATTGATGAGTACTCATCCGGCCAAGTATTAATGACGAAACCATGAAGAGGAGCGACTCGGGTATGGACCGTCGAACAATTATTACATCAGTTATATCCACCAGAGATCAACGCAAGTATTACTAAATGGAATAGGCGTAAATAAGCTGCGTATTCGCTCTGTAAATGTAGTGCAAAACTTGTGTTTCTCATTTACACTTTCCAATGACTGTCACTAATGTTGGATTCGGGTGATAACACAAAAGGCCAGCTAAACCAAGCTATTGTTTCAGCGATCTATGTTCTTTGCCTGGGGTGCACCCTGGAGCTCAACTTTTCGCTTCTATCAGAGCGAGAAGGTTTTTCCATAGCAAAGAAGGGAAATGACACTGTAGAAACAGCCAAATAATAATCTCGAAGCATCAGTAGAGAACATACAATACAGTTGCCCATCTTATCTCCCCGTGAGGTGTAAGCCAGCCTCTGTAACAGAGTTATTCTCAAATGGCACATTCATCCATATCTGCTACTATCATGTTTGCAGTCATCACTGACAAGAGGTCATGTAATGCGCCCATGGAACCTCACTTCATCACTTACGGGAAGTAGACTCGTAGTCCACTATGTGGGAGTTTGGTGGAGAAAGCATTTAGAAGACGCTCAGCTATTGACACAATCGCCCACAAATACGCACAGTACTAAAAGCGAAAAAACGAACTTAGCTTTCATTGAGCACACCTCCGTGCATGGAATCGAGATGTTTTCAATTTACGGGACATGCACAGTTAGTGACCTATCTCATGAAATGTTGGCTGAAATTCTGAAACGTGCTTTCGATTGGGAAGGATTATATAGGCGCGGTTGTAATATTGATTATCTTGCGCCATAATCTTATAAAATTTCAGACTCAGCAGGATGTCAGCTTTTAAACATTTTGCTTTTTAATGTCCTGTAGAAAACGCAGTCGGTTAAAAATGACTACTTAAGTAGCATGCACTTTTACGATTGGTTTTCGATTGTCTTGAAAATTCATATGTGGCTTATATAAACCATTACTAAAAATATGTTTTTTAGTCAATTAATAGAGAGTCACGTCTTCTTTATATCTTCCATTCAAGGAAGGAGCAAAATTAGGTTAACAAACGTTTCCCAATTCCCGAATAATATTGAACCAGATCTGTCATTGCATTAGCATTTGGCGATTTCAGTTTACAAAGTGCATGATTTCCACGTAAGGAAAATCATATATTCTTCTATGCCTTAAGGAAAAAAATAGTCAGAATGGTATTACCGACAAAGACAAGGCAGACTGGAATGGCCACTTATGGCTTTTTAGCCGTCGTCAGCCAGCCATACCCAAGCCCGAAGTGTGGAACACCCGAGCCTCGAACTCGCGACCTGTTGGTTTAGAAGTCAACGCCTCTACTCACCGGGCTACGAACCCGTTGCCTTGTCGATTTTCGATCGGGAATATACAATGGTAGGGGGCGCTCACCGATCGTTCATACGGAACTCACTCGTTCCGTTGTGCCTTAAGGGCTCTCTCTCGAGCCAAACCATTGTATATTCCCGATCGAAAACCGACAAGGCAACGGGCTCGTGGCCCGGTGAGTAGAGGCGTTGACTTCTAAACCAACAGGTCGCGAGTTCGAGGCTCGGGTGTTCCACACTTCGGGCTTGGGTATGGCTGGCGGACGACGGCTAATAAGCCAGAAATGGCCATTCCAGTCTTCCTTGTCTTTGTCGGTAATACCATTCTGCCTATATATCATGCGCCGCTGTGCGGCTGCTGGTTGGGCTCGAGAGAGCCCGTAAGGCACAACGGAACGATTGAGTTCCGTATGAACGTTCTGTGAGCGCCCTCTACAAAAAAAATAGTGTTTACAAAATTTTGTAATGGATCCGGACTATATTTTACATTTCATGAGGAGCCCTCGTAAACGGCCAGGTACGATGCTATGTGAATGGACATTGCGCGGTATTAAAAAAATCTCATAATTAGAAACTTTTTTAAAACCTTATTATACTCCTTTCTTAAGTGTTAAATATACACAAGACGTGATTCTCTATTGATTGATTAGAGAAAACATATTTTTAAGGTTTTCATAAAATATATTTGAATTTGTAAGGCCATCGGAAATAAAATGGGAAGCAGGTATGCTACTAACGTAGTCATTTTTTGACCAGTACGCCTTTTACAGGAGATTTAAAAGCATTATCTTCAACAGATGATATCCCACGGATTCAGAAATGTTTTCAGATTATGCCGCCAGATAATCAATATTACAACGACGTCTACGTAATGCTTCCTAATCGAAAGCGCATTTCAAAATTTCAGCC